CTCAAAGAGCGGCTCCCACAGCAAGGAGGGGCCCCGTGAATCATCGCGGTGCCCCCTATCAAACGGTTATCTTACCAGTCTGCGTGACACAAAATCATCCAGCACATGTATCCAACAGCAATGTTCGCAGACTCACGAACAACATCATGTCAGCATCGGCGGGGTTACACTGTGACCTACTTTTAAGTACTTGACTTGTTGGGTTGGTATGTAGCAAGGAATTTCGGGCCGTGTAGGCTAAACGGTATGTTCATGTCAAGCCAGCACCACCACCACAAACAACAACAACAGGAGCAACAATGATGGAAACAACGGACCTTCTTCGAATTATACAGGTATCGAACACAACACACGATGAAATCTTGTCAGAGACCCCAACTTCCGATTCCCTCCAAAAGCAGAGAGAGAGCCAAACCTCACACGCGCACACGATGGTAATCGATATCGTCGTCTAGCCATGAGAATGATCTATGGTATGAGGTGTTGCTGGGGGAGGTGGACCGTGGTCGTTTAATTTGCTCACCAAGTCCCGTACGCTAGTCGGGCCCAGGTCCGGGTGCGAGTTGTCCACGGTAATGAGTGTAGTGAAGACTCCTGTCGCCATCGTCCTCTCCATTAAGTTCCTCTAAGCAAAGGAGAAGCACCGGGCGTGTTCGTACGATGTAGCACCAGACATGTTGCCGGAGGGGGGGGTGGATGTAAAGTGATGACGGAGCAAGGTGCATGGTGCATCGCATGCACACGGCGGGTTTACGCTTTGTTGCAATTGGCGCCAGCGCGATGGTGATTGTGTATGCGTAGTCCGTACGCTTGACCTACACGGTAGCACACGCCAATCAAGAACGCGAAAAACATTTCGAACAAGCACTTCCTCCAAAGCTCATGTCCAAGGGATGCACGCACACGTTGTTTTCAACCGTCTAGCTAGGAAGAACGCCTCTTCTCCGTTCTTTTCGGTTTCTTTCATGTTTTCTTTTCGACCCCCCTGTAGAAGAACATGGTTCGGGATTACACGGTCAAACACACTGCCAAAGGCCTGCAGTAGCCAGAAACACAGCGAAAACCTTACACGGAGGATGAAAACCTACACCTCCTTCGTGCATGCCCACACAATTCCTACCTACCGACCGAACCTGAGGGGGGTAAGTATCCCCTCCCTCTTCCTCCAATGGCCTTGGCCGTGGCAGCATGAACACGGAATGGAAAATGCTTGATGTCGACTCAAGCAGCAAAATAGCGAGTGCGGTTAGGTGGCGAACAAGCAAAGCAGGCCGTAACACACCTCGAAGGTATTTATCTGTGTCATGGCCAACGGACCCCCGCCATTCGCCTGCAGAGTCTTCTTGGCCTTCGCCTCCGCTGCAGTGAAGAGGTGCTTTTCCATTCAATGACAGAGGGATGAACCGAAGTCGAGAGGCATCATCGAAACGGATGAAAGACCGCAAGACGTGATGGAAAATGATGGCAGCCAGTATCGCCTTGGTGCCCCCCTTTGGCAGTGCACAAACAAGAGTTTGCATGGGCGGTCGGGTTGCCATCGTATGCGTTTTCACATGCTATAAACTCGAAGACATTCCCCCGCAAACATCGGGCTTGATTCCTGGAAGATGGGAGGATTGCATGATCCCGTGGTGTTGCACGGTTAACGTGCTTCTCTCGGCGCTGGATCACTAGGAGAGGGCGGGGGGAAAGGGTCTTACTCTTGTCTTGCCTCGTTGTAGTTTTTGGGGGTTATGGTTCTCATGGTCTTCCCATGTGGGACATTACACCTCGAAATCCTGTCAGGTGCACCATCGCATGATGATGCACTCCGTCCCCGTGTACAACTAAGAGATACACACAATTCTCAGGATAAAACGTGACACCGGCGCGGTACATCTCTTTCTAGTACCTCGCCGTATCGAGTGGTGCTGCACCCTACCCCACTCCCGAACCGTAGTCTACTGGTGGTGTGTCTGATATCCTTTCACCTCGGGCAAGACCGAAGTCGGAGACTTGGGGCACGCATCCCCCGCACCCGTCGTCAACCAGGAGGATGTTTGGCGGCGTGAGGTCCCCGTGGCCGGTGCCTGCCTTGTGAATGTGTCGCATGCCGGAGGCGACCTGCTGCAGGCAGCGGTCGAGGTAGGTGCACGGGGGAGGTGTGCAATTAGTCAGAGGAGAGGACTATTAAGATATAGACTATCATTGATGTGCAAACCGACGGTTTCTAGCTGGAACTGAAGACACCAGGGTGGCAGTATCTCAGATAGACAACAACAGAAGCTGACATTGTTCTTGACATGGTGTTCATCAGCACACACCACAAGACACACAGCGGTGGCCTGTCCATGTGCAACGAACGATGTCTGCCACGCTGCAATACGCTGCAAAACGCCCCCTGTGGGTCTTGACTCATCGTTTTTGGAACACCGTTCTTCCGTTTCTTTCGAAGAACCTTCGACTGATCGATCGATTATTTGAGGTCCAACACGTATGTTCGTCTACATCACGCACAGCCTTCGGTATCTTGTATTATCTTGAGTGCGAGAAGTTCTAGGTCGAAAGCACCCCGTGGGGGTGCCTCTACCCACCCCACCAGCGTTTTGAGACACCTCCCTCTCTCCCTTCTTGAACTACCCCGTATGGTTCCAAGGTCGGCGAACATGACTCCCAATTCCGTTTTCGTGTATCTCTTGTAGGCATGCGGCAGATAAGCATTCCATATTCGGCAAGGTTGGCGGGAGGTACTCCACTAATGGTGTAACTTTATCGAATATACCATACCCCCAACCATACACGATCCCCAACGCAGCGACATTGGGACACACACATATGCATACCTAAGCTTGCCCGCAATGACCCAGTCGCCGTCATTCAGCATCTGCCCAAAGTCGCCATGCGCCCTGGAGTAGAAGGATAGGCATACCGATAGCGGTTGCACTGCCCCAATGATATTGGGGTGAGGGTTCTTGGCGAGCCTGGGGGGGTGGGGGAAGGGGCAACAACATACAGCGGGTCGCACACATGCGGCGTGCGAGGTGCTTCACAGCAGTCAAGTTGGAACGTCATTTTGCCGACTCTTGGCGACCGATGGATGCATTCGTTTTGGTTCTACACGTACGTCTATGGCACGGCCTGCACAGCCTGTGTGTATCTTGTACTGCTGTAGGAGAAGAGGCGGTGTACACGCGAGGAGTGCTAACTTCGCAGTTTTGTCGAAACCACCCCACTGCGCTGGGTGTCCCCGCCGACCCGGCGTTGTGATATCTCTCTTCCTTCTTGGGTTACCCATCTGGTTAGCTGTTCGCGGACACGATTCCAGTCACCTCCTCGTGTACCTCTGGTAGGCATGCGGTAGTCGCTAGTTTCTTGGTATTTCGCGTGGTTCAGCTGGAGGAGGGGCATTCCCCAGCGTCACCTCCAACAATATAAGATCCCCAACGTAGCCACGCAGCGGGCATTGGCACACACATATGCCTCGGTCCAGCCGCCGCCGTAGTTGAGCACCTGCCCGAAGTCACCGTGCGCCCTGGGCAGAAGGAGCGGCATGCCGACGGCCGCTGCCCGGTCGTCGATCGAGACGGCCCTGATGATGTTGGTGGGTCCTTGGCGAGACTTGGGTGGGGGGGTTGTACTCCTCCCCCCCCGTCTCGCCAAGGACCCTCACCGCAACATCGTCGGGGCCGTCTCGATCGACGACCGGGCAGCGGCCGTCGGCATGCCGATCTTTCTACCCAGGGCGCATAGCGACTTCGGGCAGGTGCTCAACTATGGCGGCTGGGCTATGGCAGATAAGCTGAGGTATGTGTACGTGTGCCAATGCCCGCTGCGTCGCTGAACAGCACGCAATACACGCGACAATCGAGATCGTCTAGCCCTGAACCCGACGACTATCGTTGACCTTTTATTGTCGGCGGCGGCCGCGACAACAACAAAAGGTCAAGGGTAGACGTCGGGTTCAGGCAGTTGACTCTCATTGTGAAGGGGGCAGAGCGCGGTGAGATCAGGGCCGCGTTCATCCGCAACGTACGTCAACGCCAGGCGATAGCGGTAGGAGAAGTCTGCTCGCTGGTGCAGGAGTGCTGCGTCGCTCTCGGCGGAAGCGAGGGCGGCGGCGGGGCAAGCTTGCCATTGCAACAGGGCGTCGGAGATGGATCATTCGGCATCGTGGGGGGTGGTGCTAGTCACAGGTCCCTGCCGGGAGAGTTCGCCGTGAAAGCGCTTCAGGAGGTGAGAGGCCTTGATGCCTGTGTGGGAAGGTTGTAAAGGGCGGGGGAAGCTGGTGCTGGGAATATCATCTACCACATGATTGCGGTATTCCGATGGTCGTAGCATATTCTGGAAGTCACTTTGAATGATTGGAGGTGTCGATGTGAAGCGCCCCCCATCCACCTGATTCACGCCAAACCGGAAATATGTAACTGTCGCATGCCTACCAGAGGTGCCCGAGAAGGGCACTGGGAATCATATCCGCGAACCTTTAAGGGGGGCAGCAACATACCAACACGCAAGACGCGCGGCAATCGAGACCGGCACTGCAGCAAGCCGTTGGGTGACCTACAGTACGCGCCACGCACCGAAGAAATTACCAGTTAAGCGAGACAGAGCCTATATATTGATATGACACAGAACAAAACCTTTACCACAAGTACAGATGCTCAGTCAAGAATCCTACTCTAAACCCTTGACATAGTAGATGCTGGATTTCCCCAAGGAACAGGAGAAACGAGCCGCGGGCAAGAAGAGGGTTGCTTGATGTGCGGACATGCTATTATCCTGTCTTGATGCTGATAGTGATGATCTCACCGCGCCATGACGATCATCTCCACGCGAGCGCAGTACCTCGCATTCTTGTCCGCACCCTACAAAGCAGGTTGTGGTTCTCAAACAGGTGTGCACAGTTGCAAGCATGGGACCGGTGGTTGTGATACTTGATGCAGCAACGGCGCTTCCAACACTGCTACTGATCCGTCCTGAGCGTGTACGGCAAAAAACGCCTGTTTTCCCTTCCCCCAAAGTGTACAAACGCTCCCGCTGTAGCCCATGTATTGAAACAACCGTTATTGTGGTTCTAGAACATTCTCTGCGACCACCGGAATAACCTACACCCAACGCCGCGCAATATCGGTGTTAGATGGCATGTCAAGAACCAGCTTCCTGAAGAGGTCACGGGGCCTCCCACTTCCTTCAGCCTCTTGACCGCAAACTCTCCCGGCAGGAAGCTGTGGGTGGCACCGCTCACGATGCCGAACGAGCCTTCCCCGGTAATGGCGATCTCTTGCAATGGCGATCTTGCCCCGACGCACCCCTCGCATCCGCCGAGAGCGATGCGGGCCGCCTGCACTAGCACACAGGCTTCTCCCACGGCCACCGCCCGGCACTGCCGCGTATTCGTGATGAACGCGGCCCTGAGCTGGCCGGGCTGAGCCCCCTTGACGATGCGACCAAACTCTCCGTGCCCAACGCAACGTCTGTCCGTGGTCTCTTGTTGCCACCGTCGCCGCTGCTCCTTTCCCCCACCGGCGCGGCCGCGGCCGCCGTCTCCGTTCTCTCGCCGTCGTCGACAGGGACAACAATCTTGGCCTGCTTGACGGGGGTGGTGGCCCCAGATCCCTGGACTGGCGGGATCTCCCCGTGCTCGGCGGGCGAAGCACCGTTCTGTTGAAATGGATGCGGCGAAAGGAGGCATGTTCGTGGTAGGGCGTGGGGTAAGGGGAAACCTTTCGTGTCAGGCGGTCGTCACGAGGTGGCCGTTTGGGCTTGTTGCCAAGAAAAATCAATGCTGTGTATGGACGAATTATGGGGCGTTTGCCGATCGTGTGTGTAACATCCTGCAGTATATACATAAATTAGCAGACGGCGCTTGGGTGTGTCTAGCACCCTACACTCGCAGCACGCCAAACGTCCGAATGCTACTGTATTTCCCCATGGTAAGTTTGTTTGTTTCACAAACTCCGAGACAACTACTACGTCCTAAACCACATTACTCACGACACGCACCGGCGGGAGGAAAGAGGCCGACCTCGTCAACCTTCTCCGAGATATCATCGTCATCGTCGTCGCGGCTGTATCTGCTTCCGAAGAAGGGGACGTTGAAAGAGCTCAAGCCCGCTGAGATGGCTATGGCTGGAGCGGGGGCGGGAGATGCCGCGGTGAGCGGAGGCGTACCCGAAGCGTCGACGGTACCCACTTCCCGCGACCCGTGCTTGCAAGTGTCATTCTGATGCTTTAAGAAGGAGGGGGAAAGGTGAGGGAGGAGGGAAGAGATTGGGCAGCGAGGAAGGAAGTGAAGGAGGTTTGAAAACGAAAGCCGTGGAAGGCATGAGCCTCCAACGCGGGCGGTACCGAGAAGCCAGCGCGGGTACACACGCATACAAATCACACAAGTGTCCTCGTACAAGAGGACATGAACATTTCCTAAAACGTACCTTATCCGTGTCAGCGGAGCTGAAATCCCTTCCCACCCTCGAAGCGGCCGGCCGAGCAGCAGCGGACCAAGAAGCAGCATCCACCGCTGCCGCGCGCACGGCTGTACCTGAGGGTCGCGGGGATGGGGAGCGGGACAAGGTCGACGGCAATCGCGGCGACCGACGCGGGGACGGCGGGCGCCCGACGCCCGGGGAGAGGTGGGCATTCCGCGGGAAGGGTCGACCGTCGACCTTGTCTCCGACGACGTCAGTAGCAGCAGGGGAGCATTGGTGGCGTTGATGTCCGTCGTCTTGCACAAGGCAGCGCAAAGCTTAGACTAGTGGGCTTCGGCGAGGCCAGGCTCAACACCGCCGCCGGTACCGGCAACGGCGCCACCAGCGTCCCCGTCGCCGTGGCGATGGTGATGGCCGGCCTTGTACCGAGGAGTGGACCACCTTTGAGGTTAACAGTGGAGGTAAGGAGGTGTGACCTGGCGACACCTGCAGCGGCGCTAGCCAGCGACCGCACCCAGAACCGTGCTTGTGTGGGTGCTAAGGTCCCTGGCACCGCTGCTGGCACCGCTGCTGGTGCTGCTGTAGGAGGTCCCGGCGGGCGCCGCTTGGTGATGTGACAAGACGATCCGCTTCAGCATCCTGCGCAACACACCACGCTGCTGCGGGGGACGCCGGATCGTTGCCCAGTTGTACAGGGGTACAGCGCCCCCCAGCGAATTGATGCGAATGACCTGCCTGCCCGTCTGTAGTTGGAGCAGGACAAGCGTACTTCCAGCGCTGTTGTTGTTGTTGTTGTTGTTGTTGTTGTTGTTGGTGATGGCGCTTCGTCTGATCGCGGCGGGCGAGAGTGACTGCGTGCGCGATGCTCGCAGCACCAGAGCCTGGTTGTCCGCAGCGTCATTCACGGCGTCGTCGTCTTCGTCACTGCATGAATCGGGGCAAGAACAAGAGCTTTATCAAGTCCAACATAACGGCATGGTTAAAGTTTACGTGCAACGGTGCTTAGTCAGGACAAGACATGCGAGTGTTTCAGACGAGTAAATACCGGTAGGGAACGTGGGGGAATTGAAACGTAACTGCCGGAAGACAAACGAGGGGAGGAGGGGGTGCAGGGAACCATAGAGCCAGTAGATGCGAGTGTTTTGTCATCCCGTGTACTATGGAGGTTGATTGTTACACCTCTCAGGACACTTCACCGACTGGGGCCACATACCTAGGAGGCAGGCCACAAGTACAGGAGAATCAGGTTTTGTCTCAAAACACGTGATGAGGTGGGAACGAGACAAGCGCATGTAGAAACACTTTGTCACATACTTACGACGCGGGCCACACATACGTGAGATTTTTGATCTGGTTTCAAAACATGGGATGGGATGGGAACGAGACAAGCGTATGTGGAAACGCTTCACACCGAGCGACTATTGGTAATGGCAACATATATATGTCACGGAGCAAAACGAAGCGGCGAACACCACTGTACTCGGCACTGCGATGTCAAATATTATCCTCGGCGAACAGCACTCTACCAATACTTGATAAACAAGGAAATCCCCGTGGTCCTAAAATATTTCGAGCATGTGTGCCGCTCTTCAGCAGCAAGCTTTGGACCACCCTCTCCCGACAGGGTCCAAAGCTTTTCGCCCAACAGTGACGGCCAGTGGATGCAGGCGCCGATTATTCGATCGGAGGTCAAGTGCATACATAGTGTTCATCACGTGTCGTCCGGTCGGGAGGCAGCAGTTGCATGCGTCCAACACCGCAGCCACGACCGGGCACGCAACCACGCTACCAACAGCTATCAGCACAAACACTGCGCTGAATAGCACCATATTCTTTTGCTGAAAAGGACAAGTGCAGCACGGGAAGATGGGGATAGCGAGAATAGAATCACGCGGCACCGTAGGCGAAGACATGCCACATAAAGGCTTTCACTCATATCTAGACAGGAGCACAACAACAATAGAACACCAGTAGTTGTAGTTATACAGCAGTAGCAGTCTACAGTAGTCTTCTCTCCTGAGTCCACAAACAATGTCTGTCAAGTTCGCCGTCGGGATATCCACCAAATCTATCAAAGCGCATTAGTCAGCATTGTGATCGCGGTACGAAGACTTCAGGGGTATTCGAAGGAGCAAGGCTTTTTTTGCGCATGCATGCCAGCCGAAAGAGATGTCCCGAGCAACGAAGCAAAAGTGTCTTCAGGCCTCCTGACAGATGATTGATGCTGATTTTATCNGAAGGAATCAGAATTGGAACGAGCTCGGCACATCTGCTCAATCAGCCAATCACAGCGGATTTGCCCATGCCTCTCGAAATCGTGTTGAACACATTCTCTCCAAAAAAGATAACGCTCCGCATTTTATCTGGGTTTAAGGCTGGGGTCCCCAGCCTTAAACCGCTGGGGAAAAAAAATTATGAAACGCTTTTTGTTGCGGCGGAATTTCATTTTTTTTTAAATTGTGCACAACGGATGCACACAGCACCCGCTGGCACCGAGGAGTGCACAGCATGGAGAGCCTAGTAGCAGCAGTCACACGCAATGGCTGGCAGAGAACCTCTGAACCCGTATGCT